CTGTTGCCTAAAACCTTGACCTCATTAAGAATAACATGTGACATTCATTTCATTTTCATACTATGATTAAATATGCAGTTAAGCATAGCATGGCAAACAATGAGTAGGTTCTCTGTGTAGTTTCCCAAATAGAGTCTTAATGTTGAACAAAAGGCTAAAACAGTGGTTGCAAAAAAATGTTACCGGTTTTTTAAGACTTTTTTGAAGAAATCCCACTTTTCAGTTTGTGGAACGAAATCTCTTCTTGTTCTGTCGCCTACTTCTTGAAGACAGTATAACATTATTTCTCTTGAATCCTACAACACGCTTTCCTCTCAATCATTTGCTTTGAAGATGAGTTTATGTTACTTAAGCCAACATAAATTGCAACTGTAAACAAAGGTAACCGAGTTGTCCAGAGAATTACATTACCATTTAGACCTTTTAAGAGCCTACAAAAGTTTAGACAGATTGCGCTTACACAAGAAAAACAAGACCCCAAAGTCAAGGGCTCATTGAAATGAACACTTACAGCACGGCTGAGATAATTCAATTTTACACTCAGATGCACCTAACCAAGTGTAATTTTCGACATGGCAACAGTTCCTTTGGATGCTCTCTGTTTGTAGACTTCTGACCTTCTCAGCATGTCATACAGCATGTCTTGGCAAGCTAAATGAAATCTCATCTCGTCGGGAGACATCCCAATTCTCAAGATTTGAGCAATGTAGAAGTCATCTACACACGCAATGTGCCTGTCCACATATCTGTCTGTCTGTCGATCCATCTATAAATAATAAAAGACTGTTGTCAGGCTGATGCTTTGTGCTTCGCCGATGTATGCTATTAATCTTGACAGGCCCTTGCTTCCTGTGTGGAGGGTTACTGTCAGTATGTGCAGACTGCATTAATTACAGTGTTACAGAATAACAGCCATGGCAGAACTAAATTTTTCCTCTTTATTAGCTGGTAGCAACCTCCAATACAAAAAACAAAAAAAAAAACAAAAAAAAAAAAGAAACAGATCTGCTGGTTCATTTTCATAAGCATTCTTTACAGCTAAGACTTGAGAGCGAAGGACCTTCGAGACTTCATTATTGCATTTCACAAATCTGAGCGAGAATATGAGGTGACAGAGACTAATGGCGTGGTTCCCTCACAGAAGCAGGTACAGCAAAACACTGGAATGATGTCCACGGGTCTCCATCAATCACAATTAATGACTAATTTTACCTATGTTAGGGAAAACTAAGTAGTCTTAGAATCAGCACTGGACTGTGTTTTAATATTTTTGAGAAAAAACAAAGATTAATTTCACTGGGTTTTGCTTTTACCAGCACGAGTATATACAGAAGATTTCACATTTGATTCTTATTTAACCACATTTAAAAGCTTTGGAAGTAGTCTTGGGATTGGATAATGGGATTCTCTCAGCCAGAACAGATGTTAAGGTTTCACAAATTTCCGATGCACAGATAATTTATACATATTCTGCTTTCCATTAATGTCTGTCCCTGTGTCTTTGCCATAAAAATGTATCAAATGACTAAGTGATTTATTTATCATTTCATAATGTGTAATGAGATAAAACATTTGATGAAATATTATTTTTGTACTTAAAAAAGATTGAGTGGCAAAGTCCTGTCACTTCTTTTGATTTATGTTTTCGCATCCACCTGAATAATGTGCAGTTGCGCCACTGTCCATAGATGCCAGTTGCTGTACTGGCTAAAGGAGCAGGTGGGTGTCATGGATGCCAGGTGGATGCAAGATTTTAGGCCAAAGATGTCCAACAGATCAGGGACATGCAGAAATACAACGTTTTCAGCTGAATTCAGAAATGCTATTGTAACAGCCTGCTGGTTAGTCCAGCTGAAATCGGATGAACTGGACAAAAAGGAACACTCTTATTTTATTTACATATAAATAATGCCTTACAAAAGTATTCACACCTGTTTAATTTTTTCACATTTAATCACAGTCCACAGTCATGTTATCAGAGAACACAACATAACACATACTTGGAAAGTAGAAGAAAATGGATACATGGATGTTCATGTTTGTTCAAGTGTAATTTCCTCATGGATTCAGCTTCCTTTCTTCAATTTGTGAAGGCTACCAAAGTTTGGTAAGGAAAGAAAGATAAGAATGAACCAGGAATATGGAGTTTAAAGTAGGGTTATGTTATAAAACAATGTCCTAAACCGAATATGCCACGCAACACTGTTCAATGGAAAAGATATTGCACTAAAAAACTAACACTTCACATATCTGACAACACAGTTCACAGGGAAATGAGCAGAGCTAAATAGAGGGCAGTCCTGGAAGAAACCCTTTTAGAAGCTACAAAAGTCTTGAGATTGGGTTAACAGAAGATCGAGCCTAAATTTACAGTCAGAGCTGCAATGAGATTTAGATCGAAGCACATTCACGTATTAGAATGTTCCAGTCAAAGCCCAGACTCAGTCGATAAAGAATCTGTGACAAGGCTTGAAAATTGATGTTCACAGATGCATCCCACCTGGCCTGAGTAGGCTAGAATATGAATGAGCAAAATGTTCAAGAGGTGGCAAAAACATATCCAAAGAGATTTGCCGCTTTAAGTGCAATGCATCTGTGATTCTGAAAAGAATTGATTCAAGGGGGCAGAATATGTCTTGCACTTCTCAGATTTTTATTTATATATTAAAAAAAAATAGGAAAACCATGTATCATTTTACTTTCGCTGAACAATTAGGCGTTATGCTCCTCTGCAGTTGGTCAGGCAGCTTCCCCTTCATAGTAATCATCAAAGGACTTCTTCTATAGTTCTAGTTTTTAGTCACTAATAACGTGTCATCACAGAGACTATTGTGTCCTCAGTGGTGACTAAAGCGATGCACACTGAGCAGACCTATCATTATGAATCGTGTCAGTGTTTTAATAAAGGCTCATTCAGCAGGTGGCCTTTTTTTTAAAAAATGGTTAATTCTCTGATTTACTGATGATATTTGATACTCAGATAAAGGGGGAAGTGGTGCACAAATTCAACCAGTAAGAGAAACCTCCAATATGGAGTAGTGATAATGTAGGGTCAAATATTCAGTCCTAATGGAGGGTTCTTGTTTCACTCTGCAAACACACCTTGATGTTGTCTCCTGCTGGTTGCCAAATGGTGTAATTACAGAACTACTGGAAACACAAGGTCAACCCATGCAGGTCTTTAGGCGCTGTAATAATTGAATTGCCTTGAGGGCTTCCATTTTGAAGGTGTGAGTGATCCATCAGCCTTGGCCTGTCTTTGATCAAACAAGCCGTTGAAGTGGAAATTGAATATGATGTGCCACAAGTGAGCAATCACATCTAGCCAGTGGTCCCTGCGGCATCAAATTAACACAAGGTGCAAAGCTAATCTCAGCCAGCATGCCCTCTGGGGCGTAATGTTTTGTAAACTGCGTGTAGACTGTCACTCTTCTTCATGTGCACTTGACTGATTTTTGGAAATGCGGCCTACATTCGATTTTAAGGTTAGCGTTCACATTCAAGCACTCAGTGCAATGAGGGATTGCTCTTCTGAGTGCTTCTGTGTTTGTCTGCTTTGCTGTTTTTGTGATAAATCAAAAAGTGTGGGACGTTAAAATAATGCCTGATTGGATAGTCTAAAGAGGAAAGAAATGATGCTAATCTCTATAGAATTTACTGTGTCAACCACAGAAATGTTCTTCATTTTAATTTGGTTGCAACAATAATCCTGAAGGATATTCCACTGCACTCAGTTATGTGCCAAAGAGTGCTGCTTGGCTTGGTTGAATTAGAGAAAAGCATAAAATGAAATGCTCTTGTAAATCACACTGCATTAAAGAAAGGAGTCATTTACTGAACGGTTGCTGCTACAGCTTAGCTGAGTAGTTTTCCTGCACCTTCTCAAGGTCTCCACAGAAGAGTGGTGATAGCTTCATCATTCAGGGTTGGTTTTTGTGTCTGATTTAGATTTCTTTATTTTAATATGGCTCTTTCCTTGTTTTAAAAACACTTTTTGAATTTGCCCACCCATAAAGACATCACTCCTTCGCAGAAGCATTCATATTTTCTCCATCTCCATGACACTATGTAATGCTTAAGGTCCAGCATACAGTGAGAAGGAGACATCTAACTCTAAGGCACTTTCTGCTTTATTTTGAGCATTCCTGTCAAATCAGAATTGTCCTGAGGAAAAAGGTAGGACTCATTGGTGGACTCGGTGTGCTGAGGGTCAGAGGGCTGTTGTGGGTGTGCGTGTTTTTTAGAGACACCCTTATCACCAAAGCTCCTGGTGGCCGAGATACTTAGACCCAGGGGGCTTTGTTTTCTGTCACACAGAGGCAACCAGTGAGAGTAGAGATGTTAAAACATTATGACGCATAACAACTGCAAGTGCATGTTCTCAATTGAACCGGTGCCAGAGGCATCTATCTGTAGACATGGGTTGAACATCACTGTCTTGCCCACTCCCTTTTTTTTTTTTGTTGAGGTTTGTGAAAAGCTGCTGTAGGAGAAACTAGGCATCAATGGGAGTATGACTCAAAGCAACTGAAAAATGCACGTCATCAGCAGCCAGCAAGTGAACATAGCAGGGGACAGAATATACTATACATTAATCTTATATCAGCTCAGAGAATACATCAATTATTAAATGGCTTTCTGACATGAAAGCTGTATCCATTTGGAACTTTAGTGCAAGATGAAACTTAACACTTGCACTTCGAATAATTGATGAGTTCTGATATTATGCTTTTGGGTAAGCTTCCTTTAGAATGTTATTTTTTACCAAAAAGTGCTTTTGTAGACTTTTATAAACAGCTTACAGACTTACAATCTGAGTTATTTAAGAGAGCTCTAATGTGTTACTAATAAAAAAAAAGCATAAATAAAGCCATGTACATGTTTTTAATTTATTTGTATATGGTCCTACCAGAAGCAACTCCATGGATTGCTAGCAACACTATTGAGGAAACTGACTTAGACCAATAAGAGCAATCAGTAAATGAGATTTATGTTTACAGGTGGCAAACTGTGGTGGGCTGATGATGAGTCAGCACAGCTGGGGACAGTCACCAAAAGAGACGGCCGGAACTTTTTGATTCTGAGAAACAAGACAAGTGGTGTTGTCCATATGAAAGTGTACGACAGGGAGGGCCATAAAGGTAAGAAGGCATAAAATGATATACATAATATACACAAGTATCCACCTGTAATATCTTACTGTTTGCCTTTGCTGGTTATGCTTTTCATTCAGGAAGAAATCCGTGCCAAGTGAACAATGGAGGATGCTCCCAGCTCTGCTTCCCAACCTCAGAGAACACCCGCAGTTGTTCCTGCACTGTTGGATATAATCTACGCAGCGATCGTACATCCTGCGAAGGTGAGAAATGCTTTAAGGTACACATCACTTTCAAGGTAAGATTGCATTAAAGTGTGTTAGTGATGCACACATCAAAGTTCAGAAATGATTAGGTATATTTAAATATATGTGATAGCTAATAAAGGTTTGTAATGGGTCTTTCTGTCATTCTTTAGGTGTTGACTCATTTCTACTGTATTCCATCCATGAGGGAATCCGTGGAATTGCATTAGACCCGAATGACAACAGTGAAGCCCTCATGCCCATCACAGGGACTCTGTTTGCTGTGGGGGTTGACTTTCATGCAGGTATGATATAAATTAGAAGACCATGTTAATTCTAGCTCTCAAGATCCAATATGTTTTTGGTTAGTTTTTGTGTTCCCACCTGGGTCAAGACAGTCATTTGCAGTGAATGTGTTTTACACAGTAACTAAAAGGCAGGAAAAACACTTTCATTGAACAGAGCTGTAACTCGTATGATTTTACCAAACCACAAATGGACAGACAGAGAATTTAAAACAGACATATTTAAGTACAGGTTGAACTGAACATGGTTTTAAAAATAAGTCTAGTTAAAATATCACATAAAACATAAACTTTTTATGTTATTTTTACCAATAGATAAAATATACAAATGTTTCCAAATTTTGATTAAATAACTTGTATTTACTGTAGAAACCCCCAGTCGTTATACGGCAGATTCAAGACTTAGAAATTGTAAAACGGATAGCTCTATGTTGTTTTTGATTTATGAAACCTATATAGACCTATATAATATAAGACCTAAAAATAATTATTGAGGTCGGAAATGTATATTTTCTACTAAAGAGTCCAGAATGTGATAAGTATGTAGAAATTGTAGTCAGAAAAAGTCTGAAAACTTAATATGATATTACTTTCCATAAAGTTGAAAGTCAGATTAATAGAAAGGTATTCAACTAACACATTTCAATTGTAATAAAGCAGTTTTACTTTATTTGAAAGCTTAAACTGCACAAAGTTGGATGCTTCAGTGATTGAACTGGTGAGGTTACACTCCTGATTTCTCTAAAAGCACTTGAGTTTGATTGGTGGAAAGGGTAATGGAATATCATCTAAATGCTAACACAACATCTTCTCCTTGGGAACCAGCAGATGGGCTGTCCACCCACATCATGTCAGCTATTGCTCAGCTAATTACTGTAACTGAAATCATCTTAACTTAAAGTGGTTGCTTGCTAAACGTGTTTCTTGTGGTAATAACAACTGACCCTTGACTTTACCAGGTGGAAGGGACAATTAATGCAACAGAAACATGCAATTAGAGCGTTAACCAATATGGAGACATGTCAGCAATCTTATAAAACAATGTCAAATGGTTTCTATTGCAGCTGAGCTTTTTCTACTGATAGTTTCAGCGAAGTTTGGTAGTTTTGTCTGTTGCTAAACCTTTTGTGGTGTGAACTTTTAATTACTATATTAGGGCTTTTACTGTAACCTTTGGTTTAACAGTTGCTTTAATTAGTTAATGACTGAAGATCCCAAAGGGATCATAAATGAAAGAAAGATTTTAGTTACAATGTAACATGCATTTCAAAAAATATCTCTGCTATTTGAGTATTTTAAGTTTTGTCACCCTATAACCATAAATATCAACAAATTTCTAAGTGTTACACATTCATTATTTGCCCTTTACTCTGAAACACCAAAATAAAATCCAGTCCAGCTGCTTGTGGAGGTCACTTAATGACAGAGTCCACCTGCGTGTAATGGGCATCAATCCATCCACTAGGATGCTAAACAAACAGCTGGAGTAACAATGGAATGGTTTCGATGAAAACATTGCCTACTTTTATAATTTATGCATTGTCTTTATTACAGTGCACAGTTTACATTATTTTCTGTTGGTTTATCACATAAAATAAATCAACAAACTACATTGAAGTTTGTGGTGGTGAAGCGATTAAAAACTTTTTGATACTTTTGATACTTTCGTAAACATTGTAGGCTGGCACTTTTACAGAGTTTATGAAAAAGTAGGCTATTCATGTCTAAAAAAAAATGAATGTAATGTTGCATTAGCAAATTACAAAAACTGGCCCTGACAAAATAAATGAATAAAAATTTCAATATTTGTTGTTTCTCGGATTTTCTGTCGGAAACGTCATCATTCAGTAATTTTAGATTTTCTTCAGAAAACTTAAAAGAAATCTACCACTTTCTTATCGTTTAAGCTGAGCTGCGGCACAGTTTAAGACCAAACACATTTCTGCATTGACCGTGAGTACTACCATAGCATTGCTTAGATTTAAAGACTGAGTAACTTTCAAATTTGATGAAGCTTTGCTTTGTCAGGATGAATGCAGAAACATAAAAACGGGATTTTTACAGCTAACTGCCATTTAAACAGTGGCTGAAAGGATTTTAGAAAGCTGATTGCAGGCATTAGCGGATCTGTACAATAAGGCAGATACCATCTCTGACAACTGTTTGAAAACCCAGCTTTTGGGCTGTTTTCTCTCATTTTAATGTGATATTTAAATTGCTGACATAGTGCTGATTATATTTCTTTTTTATATTCCTCAGCTGTCAGTTTTTGCCTTTTTTTCCCCTCCCTTTACATGTTTGCAGTTATCGCAGTCTCTCACACACACGCACACACACACACACCTCTATAATAGCTGTGAAACACTAAAGCAAATATCTATTAACGCCCATCGCTCTTGAGTTTTTTCATGTTGCAACCTCTGTTCACGCCTTGCTGCTTGGGGATATTCATTTTAAATAACATTATCTTTCAGCCTGTACATCTCCAACGTTATGATTCTTGGCTACTGGTTTTTTTAATTGTTTTGTACAAATACACTTCAGTTTATGCATTAAAGTTTTAGAATATGAATTTAAATTACAGTACAAAAAGAAAAGAAAAAGAATGACATTTTTTTAGATTGGATCCACATGAATATAAAAGATTTATTAACTTCTTCTATTGCTTTACAAACTCTATCTTACTACTAGTATTTAAACAAAATGTATGTAACACAATGAGTAATGTATTACATCATATTTATTACATCATACATATGTTCTAATACAAGTCAATATACTGACTATCTAGATAAATAATAATAATACGTTCAAATTAAAAGTGAATTTCAGAAATTTTGTCAAACTACTTTTCATCAAACCACTAAAACAATTCTGTTTTAAAGAGTTTCCAAAATGGTGTCAGCTTAAGGTGCCATAATGCTGCCTTGGTTGTCATCTGTTACCTTTGTGCTTTCTCGCATAATATCTGATAACAATTGACCTTTCATGCTGACAAGTACTCTGAATATATTCTGCTGCTGAAGCAATTACATTCTGTATGAAAGATATGGCATGCTCGCACAGCTACATGCTTATAGCATTCAGATAGTGAAGATATAAAGGAATCAATCAGCGTGGTGATTTTCTGTGCTTTTTAAAGTTTTCATGAAGGTGAATATGTGAGGGTGAGGAAAGGAAAGTCGGAGACCTGTTAGCATTTCCATGAAAACCAGTGATTAGATATCCTAAATGCATTCATCTTAAACATTTTAAAATGGTTCAAAATGTACATTTTCCTTCCTTATTTTATTTTTATTTTTTAATACTGAGTATATTCCCACATGAAGACACACCCTCGGGGGGTCCCTTTCCTAGACAGGTTGTTGATGGCCATAAACTCTGCTTGTATGCATTTCTTTTCATAAAAAGTCATTCTGAACCAGTGATTTTATTTCGTTTTGCTTTGGTAATCTCCACTTCCTGCCTACTCTATTACCAAATGGTTATAGTCAGTAATAGGACTGCCAATAACTTTTATGTCCTGTTTTATTTTTATTTTTTGTAGATAGTATTCCGTGATTCTGTGTTTAGCTGTGTCTTTTTCCTGGAAAACGTAATTTGCTGAGCTGCTGCTGCCATTACTTTTAGGTACTAATTTTGATTTAGGAATATTTTTTTTTCTAGACAAATTTATTGCTGGAGCTATTGCAGCCACTTCTTGTGTACTTTGGATTTAACCAGGAATATGATTTAAAAGTGTGTATTTTTGTGTCTCTTTCCTGTCCCTTCCTCCCTATAATTAAGATTGAATTGAATAGTTTGTACTTTGATGTACATCTGAATGGACTGTATTGAACGGATCTGGTCTGATCTGAGTTGAATTTGTGCTAGTTTTGAAATATTTTGGTATTAACTCTGGTTTGCTATTTATTGAAGCTCCTTGAGGTGATATTTGTTGTGAATTTCTTTATTCAAATAAGCTGCAACGAAAGCAACACCAAGCATCTTTCACTTTCATAGGAACCAAGGGAAACTGTCTTTACTGTTTGTTGTTTACGCCACAAAATCTACTGAGGAAATATTTCAACTGTTAAATCTTATATTAAACCTAAACAATTTGTGCAATAAAGAATTATTAGGCAGTGAAAAGATTTTAATCATTTCACTTGATTGTAATTTCAAAAAGTACTTATTAGGCTGTCACTTATTTTTTTCAAATTCAAAAACAAAAAGCTGAATTCCAAACAAAGCAAACATAGTTAGATTTCTTAAACAAATATGAATAATATTGCAACTTACTTAATATACAAATAAAAAGCTTCAAATCAGACTGTTTAAACGAGACTCTGAAGGTCAATAGCCCTTTTGAGTGTGACTGCAGCTTTTGGAACAGAAATGAGCTTAGTCCAAGTACAAAATTCAATGATTGCCACAGCCTTTAATTCTTTGGGCAAGTGACCATGCAAATGTAGCGCTAAGTCCCATCCAGGATCACCACCTGACAGCATGCACATTTCATTTACATATCGTTATGGAAGCCAGGTTGCCAGAGCAGAACAGATGAAAGCCCCGCAGCTGTATTCTGTCATATGTCATCTTTGTGTTAACAGAGTGTGAAGGCATGAGGAACAAGATGGTGCAATTAAATGTCTGATGCTAGGTAAGCTCTTAACAACCTGTGGAGAGTCGGACTTGGAGGCTCCACTGCAAATACAGCATATAGTGAATTTACCTAATTCTCAAGGACTTACTGTGTGTGCATTGCTTTGCAAACTAAAAGGGCTTTTCTATAAATTAAAATATCAGAAATTTCAGTAGCACAGTTTTAAAATTTAATTTCATATATTACGTGGATTCATGACACACCTAGTGAAAAATGTCAAATGTTTCTTTTAAAAAACACTATATATATATATATATATATATATATATATATATATATATATATATATATATATATAGT